AATTCATCTATAGCCTAGATCCATGACAGACTGCTGACAACCCAAATCCTTCTAAATGGACACACACACATGCTGCTGCACATATTTATACTGACACATATATTAATGGCATATAATGGCAGCCTGACAGCAGGGCCATTTAATGTAACCTGTGTGCAGCGTGGGACCTTCATTTCATACGGTCCCTTTGTGTTAGCTGTAGATGGGAAAGGAGTTCTCTGCAGAGAGACACATGGCCTGGCCTGGACTCAAGCAGAGTAATCCTCACATCACTTTAATGAGGAGTTAACACACACACTGACCTCAATAAACACACACACACACAGACATACATGCATGCCAACATCTCTAGCTGAACAAGCATATAGGCAGTAACATAATAAATACTTAAAACTCAGAATCAAACCAAACTCAATTGCAAGTAACTTAAAAATCTAAAAAGAAGAGAAGCAGCACATCGACAGCAAAATCCTCAGAAAGCTCTGACTCGGTCTGAATCAGTGCCCCTCCCATACTCCCCCTTCCCCATCTGCCTCCCTCTCTCTCTCCTTCACTTATTTCTGCCCTGTTTTATCATCACGCTCCTCTACTCTTCCTTCCTTCCACCCCACCCCATGCGTAACTTTCCGCCCAGTTTCCTCCAGTAACAGTTTCAACTTCCACCAGTCCCTTGCAGGAAGCACCACCATGCTTTCCTCTCAGCCTGTCTGCCTGTCTCCCACTCAGCCTGCCTCTCCTCACACACTGTGGCCCTCTCTAATCAGCGTTGCTCCTTCCCGTCCCATAATGCTCAGTTACCTTATCAATAATGATCGATCCAGCCACAAAGTTGGAAGGTCCCGCTCTCTGTCCCTGTGCAGCGAGAGCTCGGTTCTCTCCATCCACCCTTGCTCTGTCAATCTGGCCACAAACCCCTCTTTCCTCCCTTTATCCCGAGGTAAGATACTTACTTTTCAGATAAAGCATATTATGATAAATCGGCTGAACTCTGTGCGTGTGTGTGTGTGAGTGTGAGTGTGAGTGTGAGTGTGTAACTGTCCCACACACACACACACATACACTATAAGCACACAGTGTGCACACACAGACATACAAAAATACACCGTATCGAACAACATGATGTCAGAGGTACTTAACAGCTGGAAAAGTGTGTGTGTGTGTGTGTGTGTGTGTGTGTGTGTGTGTGTGTGTGTGTGTGTGTGTGTGTGTGTGTGTGTGTGTGTATGTAATGCATGGGTGTGTGTGTTTCGGGTATTTTGGGATGTGGTGGCTTTTGGTTTATGCCGTGCCATAAAACATTCAATAATTGAGACATGAACATACATGATTAGTAATCTTTCCTCTTTTCATGTTTTCATCAAGAGCATCATCACACACAGTAACAACGGACTCGAATCAAATGCACATAACAAAGGCTGTTTTACCAGGAAGGATTTTGGGAAAATTTAGTTTCATTACTCAAAATTTTCTGTATAATAAAATAGACAGCAAAAAAGCTTGGCCTGTAGTTTCTGTTAATAAAAAAAAAAAAAAGAGTCCAGGACACTTAATCAAAATGATGACTGAGTCCAAACTTCATTTCAGTCTCAGTTTAAAATCCTTTTTCATTTTTGGAGTGGTTGTTCAATTGATTTGATAGTAAAACAGGCTGATGAAACACAGATGCACTGACCAAACGGATGAGGAAGATTGTCTGTCTGACAATTGTTTTTTTTTTTGTTTTTTTTTACTATAATTGTCTAGAATTAATGAGTTTGCACTCAGGCCTCAGCTCAGTGCGCTGGATACACGGGCGCATGGATACACGTTTGCTAAGGGAATGGGATGAGAGAAAACAGTGGAGCACGTGGGCGAATGTTCTCCAACAAAAGTGGGATGGAAGTTAAGGTCAACAAGGGGAATAAAAGAGTTTGGAGAAAATTAAAACTAAATGAAAATACAATGGCTGTGTTTGCCTCTGGGACGTGTATGCGTGCTTGTTTCAAAATAGGATGTTTATGAAATGCTCTGTGTGTGTGTGTCTGTGTGTGTGTGTGAGTGTGAGTGAGTGTGTGTGTGTGTGTAGGAGTATAGATTAGATGTACTAAGCCTCTTATGTGCTGGTTGTCCTTAATTTGCTCCTGCTCTGGGTCCTAGTGCTTCCAAACTACCAGCAGTCCGTCATCATTGAGCAATTTCCACACAAACAACCCAGACAAAATCACATCATGCAACATTAAATACATAGTCTTGATCTTTAATATAGAGTACTTATCTTATGCCATGCCTATGTAATTATGCATATGTCCACATGAAAAAAACAGATTAAATTTTTCAAACTAAATTACTTGGAGGGGAAGAAGAATGAGTGAAATGAATGAAACTGAATGAATTAGACAACTAGTTTCTTTAACCCATTGTACAAATTTCTGTCTTATGAAAAAAACATAAATGCAAAGTTGTTAACTTTTTGATCATTCACTGTAGGTGATATAATCATATTAGATTATATTAATCTATTGAACAAAACACTGTTTCTATGCCACCACCAGTGTGTGTGTGTTTAGTGCTAGTAGGAATTTAGTGTCATTTACAGTGATATTTACGCAATGGGCCTGTGCTACTACTGTCATTGAAAGGGCCACCATTACAGGCCTGTTGTATATCCATATTTAATTTAGTGGAGTTTTCAGTTTTCATGCTATTTTACTCATTGATAATGGATTGGTCTTAATTAGTCTACTTGATCGATCATGACTTTTATCGCTCTGCCATTATCTTAAGGTATCTTGTAGCCTATTATTATTCTATTTCTTTATAAAATAATAAATTTAAATAATGCATAAAAAGGCTGCTGCTGAATAAAAACATTTAAAAAGCGCCATTTATCATAGCTAAAAGTTAAACTAATTGGCTAATTGATTTGTAGCCACCTTCTTTTAATTAAAATAGCACCAAACTTTACTATACATTACATTTACTTTACATTACACTACAAATTAAAGTAGGTGAAAAACGTTGAAATCTGAAGGATATATTTCTTAAGTACGATATAGAATACAACAGAAGAAGAGTCTGAGAGGCAGGGGTGTGGAGTGTGCGCGTGCAGAGCAGTGTCGCGCGCCCTGAGGCATATCAAAGGTCTAGAGCTATTCGCGCCGTTTTTTTTTTTTTTTCTTCCCCATGTCAGTTGGAGGTCTCGAGACATTCTTGTCTTGGGACTCCCCACAGTCACAGTTAGCCAACGGCTAACTTTAGCTACAACAACAAACCAGAAAAAGACAACAAACAAACAAATAAACAAACAAACAGAGCGTACCTGGATGTGGAGCAGGTGAGGTGTCCACTGGAGACCGAAGGTATCCAAACGACAACAACACACACACACACACACACACACACACACACGCACAGACCACCACTACACTCCAACAGCAACACACACACACACACACACACTCACCTCAGCAGGTGAAGACATTTTATTGGAGATTTAGAAACGTTCAAACACGCCGGTAAAGTCTCTCTGTCGCTCTGTGTGTGTCTTTATATCTCCGCTTTGGCTTTACAGAGCTAGATAAACCCCTTATACAGTTTGGGCTGTAGCTACATGGGTCTGTGTGCGTGTGTATGTATGTGTGTGTGTGTGTGTGAGTGAGTGTGTGTGGATTTTAAACTATAAGAAATCCGATTCAATTAACAAGCACAGAGAATCGGCTTTGGACACAGTGAAATTGTCTCGCCGCAGAGGATGGCACAGGCCAAACTGGCCCAGAGAGAAGACACACAGCTCGGGGACTGACAAAAAGATTCATGGCTACTGGAGAATATTGTACAGAAATTATTAATATACCCTTCAATATAAAATAAGCCTAGTCTATTATATATAAGATTTATTGTAGTGCTGGAAAATATGTCATGGATATAGAGTCAAAATATTTTAATGTGCAAAACCCTGAACAAATTCAATCTAATCTCAAACTATTTCAAATAATTCCGTTTGTCTATTGTTATTGTCTATTGTCTACTTATTTTTTTGGATCTATTTTCCCACCTGTTTCCGGTTTCATTTAAGCAATATTTTCTACATCTATAACATTATAGGGATAGATGAATTTATGATTCACCAATAAATAATGTAGGCTAAAATTAAATATATATAATTGAACTATTATTTGTATTATTATTATTTTCATTATTATTATTATTATTATTATTATTATTATTATTGACTGTAGTGAATGAATGGATGAATGGTTCGAAGGGAGCATGTTGGGGATCAGGAGGGGATTTAATAGCAGAACAACGCGGTCTTTGTGTTTCTTTTAATCCGGCCTGTACCCCCTCTCCGCCTCTCAGTTGCTCTACCTCTGCCTCCACACTCCGGCATGGCCGCCCAATTATTTTTAGGAGGCCAATTTCGAAAATTGTTCATAACAATAAGGAAAGACTCGAAAAGCCCAAGATGGTTATTGGGGTTCTCTTAAAATCCAGGGACCAGGACAGAACTCAGACAATATATCATTCAGTATAATTGTATTAGATAAACTTGTGTGTCTTTATGAACCTGAACAAACCCTTTTTTGAGTTCTTCCTTTTTTTTAAGTTATTGCATTTTTTTAATAGCCAAGTAGCCTAATCTTTATGCACTAAATGTAGCTATACCAACAAGTGTCTGCCGCTGCTGCTGCTACAACGAAAAGTTTTCTGGATCATTGTCTAAACTTTTCAACAAATTAAAAAATAAGACATGTAAACTAAATCTTGTAGAGTTTGTGTTAAATTATCATCCCAGATAACATCATATGTGGCACTGCAAGCTCAACATGAATACATAATGACAGTATGTGTGCGCGCGCGTTTGCGTGGGCGCGCCCACGTGAGAGAGAGAGAGAGAGAGGAGAAATGGAGAGAGAGAGAGAGAGAGAGGGAGGGAGGGCTCTGGGTGTCTACTTGGGTAAGAAGTTACTTCTAATTAGCCCGTCTCTTCTTGCTCGCCTCACTTGTCGACACTGCAGATCCACATCCTCACCTTAGGGACCAGGGACCGTCAGGGGCCCCTACTCGTTTCAGCACCAGCAACTCTTTTGGAACTGCTGTTTTTTTTGTTTTGTTTTGTTTTTTTGTTGCATCTTCCTCCTGGCGACGTCGGTGCGCGCGGCAATTACGCACGACTTGGTTGGAAAAACTGTATCGTAGCACGAGTCTTGTTCAGTTAGCCTTTATCATTTTTTTTTTTGATGCGGTAACTTCTTTAATAATCTTGGGTTAATTTGAGTTGTTATCATTTTTATCCACATAGGAGAAGCATTAAATATACACCGGGTTCCTAAATCTGCGGTGTTTTTACGCATCAGGTGAAAACAGTTGTAAAAGTCAGAACGACAGGTGCCTGGCTCGACTGCACTACGTCAGAGTAGTTTACAAAGGCAGTGAAGGAGAAGGCCAGCAAAGAAAAATCAAAAACAACAACTAAGTGACAGACAACTAAAGATAAACAGAGAGGGAGGGAGTGACAGGGAAAAAACGAGAGAGAGAGAGAGAGAGAGAGAGAGAGGGAGAGAGAAAGAGAGAGACAGAGAGACACCCCCTGGAGACTAGCTAGGAGACCCGGCCCCCGGTCAGAGAGAAGGAGAGAGAGAGTGAGGGAGTGAGGGAGTGTTTTAAAGCCGGCAGGAGGCATGATGTCCTACATTAAGCAACCCCATTACGCCGTGAACGGGTTAACGCTGTCCGGCCCGGGCATGGATCTGCTCCACACCGCCGCCGTTGGATATCCCAGTAAGTAAGAGTCTGTGACTTGAATTGTAGATGTTTTAATGTATTTAAAGCTGTTGTTTGAAGTGAAAACGTTCGTGTTGAAATGATGAAACTAAAAATATTTACTATAAAATGGTCAGTTAAAATAAGAACAATTCGCTTGCATGCATTTATTTTTGTTATTTAGCTGTAAGCTTATGCTTTTTTATGTGTATGAATAGACGTCTCTGATTCTTCAGGCATCATAGCATGTGTTCACTTGACCTATAAGTTCAGCGGATTACAGAGTCAAAAAACAATAAAAAAAAAACGGTGTGTGAATGGAAATGCAGCCTGTTCTCACACGGACTTAACATTAAAACAGGCTCCAATCTGTTGCTCTTATCGTGTAACCTATTTACAGACGGATGCTCATTGTATTTTTATTTAGTGCCATAATGTTAAGTCGTGAATGAATAGGCCACGTCTTATATTGTTTGGTCGGGGATACATGACCTGATCAGCATCTGTCATCCTGGAGAGGAGAGTTTGAATGAAACGATGCCGAGGTTTGGCACCGATGACAGGAGGCGTGTTACAGACAGAGCTTGGCCTTCTTGTCGCAGATTAGACTTTGAATCGACCAAGTTTTAAGACTCAGATTTTTAATGTAAATTGTGAATCTATGACATGGAAGAAAATTTCGTTTCTTCACACTGTATATTTCGATTCAAACTGTCTCATTTATGGAAAATATGAGACGTTTCATCATTTTATTCGATCAAATAAAACGCATCAATCATCAAGACATTCTTTGACCCAACAAAACATTTCCTTTCTTCTATCGACTAAAATGTATTAAACTTTATTTTTCTGGACATGTTCGGTAGAATAATATCTATAAATCCACAGTATCGGCAGTTCTTAAAATGTAGAGCCGGAGAGTAAAGAAGAGAAAACAGACCTGTGTTTTATTATTTGTGCTGCGAGGCAGAGCTAAAATAATTTCTTTAATTCACAAGCAATCACTGAAATTTTATTAAACTTTATTAAAACGTGAATAATATATTAGGGTATTTTAATAGCCTTAGTATATAGACTGGAACTTCGTGCTTTCTCCAATGTGTCTATTAATTTGTGAAGAATTTCGTAAGGTTTATCTTTTAAATATCAACATCATAAAAACGAAGATAAAATAATAATATCCCAATAATAATAATAATAATAATATGGTCCATTTTTGGTCGTAGGCACCCCGCGTAAACAGCGACGGGAGCGCACCACCTTCACACGCGCACAGCTGGACATCTTGGAGGCTCTGTTTGCCAAAACCCGCTACCCAGACATCTTCATGAGGGAGGAGGTGGCCCTCAAGATCAACCTGCCGGAGTCCAGAGTCCAGGTAACACACACATCAGTATACAGTGTTATTTTAGTATTGTATGCTATTTTGATGCAATACATTAGGCTATTACTGTCAGACTATATGTCTGTGTGTGCTGGTGTGAGAGAGAGAGAGATAGCTCTCCTCACAATAGCAGCTTTTACACTTACTGTTTATTTTCATGATAATTAGCCTAAATACTGATTTCATAATCATCTTCCATCCTCCAGGTCTGGTTCAAGAACCGTCGTGCCAAGTGCCGCCAGCAGCAGCAGCAGAGCACAGGCCAGTCCAAACCACGGCCCCCTAAGAAGAAGGCGTCCCCTGCTCGTGATGCAAACACAGAGGCCAGTGCCAACGCCACCAATGGACCCTATAGCCCTCCACCCCCTCCTCCAGGCACCGCCATCACCCCAAGCTCCAGCTCAGCGAGCGCTACGGTGTCCATCTGGAGCCCAGCCTCCATCTCTCCGCTGCCAGACCCCCTGTCTGCCTCCACCACCCCCTGCATGCAGCGCACCACCACCTACCCCATGACCTACACCCAGGCCCCAGCGTACAGCCAGAGCTACGCAGGCTCTTCCTCCTACTTCACTGGCCTGGACTGTAGCTCCTACCTGTCACCCATGCACCCGCAGCTGTCAGGCACCGGAGGAGCCCTGAGCCCCATCACAGCCTCCTCGATGGGCGGGCCCCTCAGCCAGTCCCCGGCCTCGCTCTCCTCACAGGGCTACACAGCTGCCTCGCTGGGCTTCGGAGCTGTCGACTGTCTAGACTACAAGGACCAAGCTGCCTGGAAGCTCAATTTCAATGCCACTGACTGTCTAGACTACAAAGACCAGAACTCCTGGAAGTTCCAGGTCTTGTAAATAACAGGAAGTGGGAGGCGGGGAAGGAAGGGGGATAGGGGAAAAAAGTGAGAAATCAAACAAAATCGAAGTGGTGTGAATAACCCAAGATTGCTTTTGGTGTGTGTTAGAAGAAGGAAGAGAACTTGAGACACAGAAATCAATTAATCATATCAGTTGAAGACCTAATCAGCTGAAATAATCTCTTCATTTTTGCAGAAAAATATAAGTGGAAGTAAACTAATCTGTCGATGCTTGGCTTGGTGATTGTAACAAAGAGATGACAGTAGAGTTCAACAGCATAGAAATCAGACTTGAAATCAAGGAACGGCACAAGATTAAAATATCTGTACAATAAAATCAAATTACTGAGAAGGAACAGCAGATTTTTTTTCTCCAGCTCAGTGAATTAGAAGGTTGAAATTGCTGCTTGAACATAGTATAACTATTACTGGTGACAAGAGGCTTTACCGTGAACATGCAAAACAAAGGATATTTTTGATCGATGACTCTGTAGTTTTGGTTTATGGATTTTTTTTTTCTGTTTTTGGTTTGATTGATAGAGATGAAACTGTTTGACCGGCCTTGACTTGAACCAAATTTGAAGCTGAGCTTATTTTCAATGACCTACAAGTTTAATTAATGCATAGACAGCCTTGAAATCGACATTTTAAACTGACGACAGCCCAAGTTTCTGTTCATTTCTTCCTTCTAGACTTTCTCTTGTATTTTCTGTGATGTATTTTTTTTTCTGAAGCTGCTTTTCATCACTGAGCTGACTCAAAAAGCTTTGAGCCAAACAACTCAACTAACTCATGCAGACATCCAGGAGAGGTGTCTTTTACAGGGTGGCCACTAATTCAGTATCATGTGAAAATTGTATAGCAGACAGAAGCGGATGATTCCCAGTAGCCTTGTATGATACTGACCCTCTGCAGCCTGTGTGTAATATACAAGCGGAGGGGGTAGAGTTGGTCACTGAAGTGACTGCAGTACAAACCTGTTGCCTTTGAGCATGGTTGTAATCGGGAGCAGAATGGCTTGTACATTGTTGGTTTAATAGGATCACTTCCAGACAATTTGGGCAACAATGGTCTCATTGTGGTGCTTGGCAGCCGAGTACCCAGCCCCCCCCCCCGTTCCATCTCACAGTGTTTGCATGAGGTTAGAGAATTGTTGAAGCAGTTCTTGAATTTATAAATGACTTTGTCATATTTTTTTTGGTTGCTTTTTTTGAACTGCTCCAGTGAGGTGTTTGATGGGAGAGAAGGCTGCGCCGGAGAAAGGGAAGGGACTGGGCCGCAAATTGCAGCCCCCCCTTTGCACAGAGAGTTAGGTGCCTCTCTCACCTCCCACCTGTAAAGATGTGATGGGTACCACTTTATGTGTTTGATGTATTGTTTGATTTTTTTTTTTTTTGTATTAGACTTAAACAACATTATGTTTCTTTAAAAATCTGTGAATTCGTTGAAGTAAAAATTGTGGTAATTTGTTTTGAAGTTGATATTATTATCAGTATTATTACTATCATCATTAATATTATGTCTTCAGCTGACATGGACATTGCTAATATTCTTTTTGTTGTTATTTTGTAAATATTAAAACTTGAAAATGCAATCATGTCTGGTATCAGCGATGTGTTGTTACGCAGACGCTCCACCCAACAGAATCTCTCTTTCTTACTTTCTAGAAAACTGCCAACTTTCTATTTTTTTCTGTTTATATTTTTCTGGTCTCTGCTTCTTCTGTTTTTTTTTTTCAAACTCAGGGGTTTATCCAATAAAAGTAGCAGTAATAGGATACAATGCTGTTTATGCTTCTTAATCATTTACTGTACTTTTATCTTTTGCATTACTATAATCTTCTCTGCTTATTTTTCTGACATGAATTATTTTGTATATTTCATTTGTCTCCTGTGTTTGACCAGTCTCACCACTACCATGCTAGATAGCTATGATGTTTCTGAGACATTAAACAACTTCATTAAAACTCTGTGGTCATTGTGTTCTGTAAGTCAGTGGATCTGAGCTTCTATACCTCTGCCCTTTAGGGCTGCAATAGGGGAAAAAAAAAAAAAAAAAAAAAGGGAGTGTCTAACATCCAACGAGGAGGAGATCGGGAATCCATTTCTGGGAGTGTTCCACTAATCCATACAAGAGGTTGAGTGGGTATAAGGCAGAGATGAGAGGGAGCAGGGTAGAGAGGACAGAAAACAGATTAGAACTAACCATAATACAGGGTACCGCTCCACCAGCCCCAAACTGAAGTACCAGAGATGTGCAGATTATTTTTGGATTGCTGAATGTTTCTGTGTGTTCCTGCCACCAGCGGGCCAGAGGGTCAGCTCCATGAGGGTTGTGAAAAGTGCAGTGCATGAAAGGTTTTAGGCTATGCTGTTAGCTGCGTGGTGTGTTGGGGGTGCTTGTCTTAAAACAAGGCTGTGGGCCTTGAGTCACAATGACACAATACAAACAATACAAGACACCTATGTCAAGAAAAAGACACCATAGTGGTGTTTTTGAGTCTTAACTAAGGTGGTTTTTTAAACTGTAGCTAGTGGAAAAAACTGGACTGGTATGAACTGAACTGACTTAAATGAAAATGACTCACGCTGGATTGAATTCATTTGAATTTAATGTTATAAACTTCAGCAAATTATCAGATTATAAATATTTAAAGATAAAACAGACTACAACTAGAGACCATCTTGTGATGGGATCACACAAATCGCAACACCTGTCAAAATGTTAATGTTCCAACCCGTGAGTACTCTATTCTACTTCCCACTAGTGGTGTCTCCAGGACCATATTTTGCAATGATGACACACACATTCACAGGCTGCAGTTGAAAAGTCAAAATCTACTTTCCTAACCACCTTTCCTCGACCTTGATGGAAAAAGAACAGCATTGCACATGTTGAGGGTCATCATGTCTGGTGTGGTCAAATCACAAGATGGTCTCTAGTTTTACATCATGTCTAAAAGTGGACAGCAATGATTAAAACTAAGATACAGTGATCTGCACCAGGGGCGTAAAGTGGGCGGCCAATGGCCCCTTCACTACTTCCTACCCCCTAGTTCCAGTGCCCTTGCTTGGACCACACCCATTTTCGAGCTTGGCCTTGGTTTTGATCTCAGCTACACACCTGAAAAGTTTCATGCACAGTTTTGTTGCTGTTGTGCTGACAAAATCTGTTCACAGACAGACATATAAACACCCACAACAGTATTCACAACCACCTCTGTGGTAGTTCTGGCTACAGTCTGTGTCTCCAGGACCGTGTTTTGCCATGTTGACACAGACACACACTCTCACAAAGTGAAAACAATACCAGCCCTGCTGTCACAGCTGGTAGTGATGTTGAAAACTTAATGTGTCCAATGTGAAGTCAGCACAAATCCTAACGGATGAAACTGCTTGTAAAGTGAAGGAGTCACTGCCGAATAAGATATTACAACGAACCTTTCCACCCTCTCCTGTCTGTGTGTGTGTGTTGTTGATATGGGATAATGTAACATCATTAATTTGTGGTAGTCCTCTCTTTCATCTGGATGAAGCGTATGCTTTGTTTTGGATCATGGTCGATTTTGCTGCTGTTTTGATCATCAAACCCCTAAATAAACTTAAAACTTTTTCTTTTCTCTTAACCTTGTAACTTAACCATAACTTTGAGTAAAAGCTACAGTGCACATCTGAGTAGAAGCTGAACCTGCACGTCCTTCTGTGAAATGCATAATTGGGGCTATACAATTGCAGATAGACATTCAGTACTGATCACTGTGACACTGTGCCTCGTGTCCTGGCCGGTTGTTGCACTTTTCTCCTCAGGCTGCCCAGTAACAGTGGGATTCTGCCTTCTGACTGGGATTTAGCCTGAGAACACAGAGCTGGGTTCAGCTTCATGGTGACACAGCATAACACTGGCCTGTCCAAAAGCTTATTAACCAAGTGCAGCAGCCTGCAGTCGTTTGCCCAGTTCACACTTGTAGAAAAAAGCTGCATTGTTGCTCTGACAAATGAGTTTTATGAGTTTCTAGATGGCGCAGATATAAACTCAGACTCGGATAGATAGATAGATAGATAGATAGATAGATAGATAGATAGATAGATAGATAGATAGATAGATAGATAGATAGATAGATGGATAGATGGATAGATAGATAGAATGATAGACCCCCTCCTGTTTTCTGCAGGCCGTGTGCGCCTGTAATCCCCCAGCAGCAGCATATGGACTGCGAAGCACAGACACAGACACAGATACACTCAGGACTTAGAAATATGATTCATTTCTTTCCTCTCTCTAATCCCCTACAAACAAGCTGGTGGCCGGCCTGCTCTGGAGGCACACTGTAATCATGCCACAGGCTGCTGCTGCCAGAACTGACCAGCCTCCCCATCAGCCTTCACCCCCCCACCCCCCCCACCCCCACCCCCACCCCTGCCTGCCTGCAGTCCAATTTCCTCTTAATCGATTCCTAATCCCAACGCCGCCAAGCATACACGCGCCGAGCACACGCCCAAGCACACACATATGTACAGGAACAGACATGGACACATCCAAAATCATCAAATGTATATTCACACACTCATACACACACACACACACACAGTAAATTTATACACTTGGGTTAGAATTAAATAAAATCCCCCACCCCCACCCCCACCCCTGCCTGCCTGCAGTCCAATTTCCTCTTAATCGATTCCTAATCCCAACGCCGCCAAGCATACACGCGCCGAGCACACGCCCAAGCACACACATATGTACAGGAACAGACATGGACACATCCAAAATCATCAAATGTATATTCACACACTCATACACACACACACACACACAGTAAATTTATACACTTGGGTTAGAATTAAATAAAATGAAAAGGAAGTGAGATCACTCAGTGAGGAACATTTTGTTCTGTTGTGTCCGACCAGGTTAAAACTAGTATCTGAAAATGCTTTACAAGCCTGGGTTTGTTTAAGTAGGACTCAGATCATACATTATAAGACTTGAATAGGTGTTCCAAGATGGCACCATGTCGTACTATACATAAAATGGCACATAAATGACACAGAAAATGACACTTGGTGGCTTTTAAACAAATATATCTTGAATTTATAGCTCATATTGTGATGTCTTGAACAGTGTTTAGACTGTTATTTATAATTTTACAGCTCCTTCAGACTTTTGTAATTAATGTGTAAGGCCAGAAGGCATCACATGACCTTTGGCCACTTCCCTCAAAAATGACCGCACAGCCCAGTGTTGTCTCTGCTATCTTCAGCAAAGAGTAGTGCGAGGTTTAGCTGATGTGAGGATAAGTGTTGATTGTCAAATTTGATGAAGAATTTGAATCAAGATGCAAAAGTCTGACTAATACTGTACAAGGCTTTGTAGCTCAGGTTCGAACAGCACCGTTTATTGAGATGAGCAGATCAGGGTGAGTAAAGATATCATTTTCCACATAAGAATTCAATTAATTAAAATAAAAAAATATATGCTTTTTGATTTCAGAGGTTTCCAGGAATGCACAGAAATCAGTAGAAAAAAGTATGAAATTGGGCACTGTAGTAAAGATCCCTGTTTTCTTTCATTTTTTTCCCTCTTCCTTTCTTCACTTACTTCACTTCCTTTCCTTTCCTCATCATTGATTGGCTCTTGTCGTGTTTTCACCCTTACCACCTCCCATTTAAGTTCACCTGGTCACCAAGCATATGGTAAGAGGAGTTTATCTTACTCTTTAGTTCTTATACTATGTCCAGATTGGTCCGTAACTTATAACTTTATTTATCCTTATTGATTTAAGAAGGACATACGAGACTAATTTGATTTATTTATTATTTATTATTTCATGGATTTCTTCTCCATGCATTCTGAACTGAGGCCCATGATGATAGTTGACCTTTCATCCTCAACGTCCTTATATATAGGCACGACGTTTGTTGGAGTCATGAATTATTTCTCCCACAGACAAATAAGTGGGGCCGAACGATATGCAAAAAAAAATCATATTGTGATTATTTTAGCAGATATTGTGATATGCATTTTTATTTATACTGAAAAATATATAAAGATGATGATCATGTGATTTTTGTTGGGTCATGTATCAAACAAGCATGTTCCTTTATATTTGGAGAATATGATTTGTAGGCTCCACAATGTTTAATTTATGATGTGTTGTGACACATTTTAGCTTTATCAAAAAATTGCAGTTTTCTTTCTTTCTTTCTTTCTTTCTTTCTTTCTTTCTTTCTTTCTTTCTTTCTTTCTTTCTTAAATAAAGTCCATTATAGGATGAAAACCTTTATCCTGTATGGCAGTGATATTTTCTATCCAACTGTTAATTACAATTATAATTATTACTAGATTATTATTAGCCTTTCTGCAATAAATCATTCGACAATCATCAAAAACATAACTGGCTGTGTTAGCATAAGCAGTTTAAGATATATCAGGTTATCATAATAATAAAAGACATTTATCAGCAGTCATTTCATTGAACACAGTATAACCAGTATTATGAACATCCTCATCCAAACTGGTTTGAAATTGGTCTTATCGATACGTTTATGGATAGTACAAAAGAATCACTGATAATTCATTTGCATAGATCATTAAATAAGATTTGTAGTTGTGCGGTAATGCTGCTAAATCACACAGTAGTGCAGTGTAAGTAGGTGAGATTGATCTGCAGCTAGTGGTGGTAACAGGATCAGTATTACAGTATGAATGGATCAACCAGCCACTGTCAACCTCAGCATACACTTCTGCTAAGGGCTTTACTGCAGATTACAACTTAACACCTAGTTAATATCACTAATAGTAAAAGTCAGAGTTTAGAGCTGCAGATTAATGATATGTTGGACTAAAACAGTTGTCTGGATTATGGGAGCGGCTTGGCGTTTGGCGCTAGAGTATCAAACACAAACGTGATCTGAGACGCTGAGACAGATTTTTCAGGTGCTTTAGACAACAGGTGGCAGTTCTTTAACA